CTCGACTTTTCATTTCAATGGAATAAAAATCGGCAAAAATCAAGAAACAGTAGGAAAGCAACCACACTATCTTATAGAGCAGAAAATTATCTATCAAATTAATGTAACATATTGGGAAAAATTATCATTTCCATATGAAAATTTGCGTGAGAAAAAACGCCATTACGTATGGGCCAACCCAATAGTTTATTCTGCTCACTCGAAGAACTGTGGTTTCACATAGAACAACTTCGAGTGCTGTTCGGGGCATAGAGAGGGATTTTGCAGGTTTCACCAACATGAAGAGCTGGGAACTTTTGCAAAGCTAGTACACCTCTACATGATGGAGGCCTGTTTCGTAAGTGTATAGTAGCTCACAGTAGCCACCAAAGTTAGAAAACAGAAGAACTCTCTACTCTCCCTCTCCTCCCACCCAAACGGGAGTGCGCCCAAATTCAAACCATTCCCTAACTTCTGATCACCAATCTCTGCAAAATGCGCATTTCATTGGCGGAGCGTTGTAAGAAAGCTCCTGCATGCAGTCTACCTCCCAACATAAAATTATTTTATATAAAGGAATCGAAGCCGCCTTCTTCTGTCAAATCGTCCCAATTGTCCTTGGTATGGACTGGCACATGATTTATAGGGTTTTTCCGGCATAAACTTCTGCGAAAAATGAGATACTTGGCTTTTCTCCAGGTTTTTTCTTTTTGGGTCTCATTGAACGTCATAGTTTCTGTTTTTAATGGAGAAAACTTCCTGCGTTGATTAGTCCCTTTTTTAAGATAAACATTCCACTCCCACTCGGAACCTTGCCCGTTCCGCCGATGTGCGATTGTGCGTTTTTCCTTTTGAAGAGTGCTGTACCAAGTTCCCTGCTTTAGAGAGAAGAACGATTGGTTGGTTTGAGCAGCAGGGTAAGCATGGGGATGTGCGAAATGTCGGTGTGAGTACGACCCCCCCCTCCTCCCCCGACGAGTATATAGTGGCGAAACAAAAACTTAGCTCAGAGCGGGGGGGGGAGTTAATACGACCCCCTTTTTCCACAACAAAAAAAATCCGAATCATATCAAAATAAATTTCTCTTAGAAATACGACCCCCCCACAGCAAAAGTACGACTCCCTCATGGGTTTGACACAACGATGCTGTACCCTGTTGGGCAGTAGTCGGGATTTGACGCACGTGGCAAGCGCGTCACTTGTCACTGCAGCTGCAACTGTATCCGTTTTGTTCAACTCAGACAGGAGAAACTTCCGGAGACGGTTTTATATTTACGAGAGACTCCTTATTATTGGTGGCTGTCTACTTCAAAAGTAGAACCGTCAGCAGTAGCATCTCCATAGGTACGATACGGTGTTTAAAACCCGTATCGCGTACTGTCTAGGCCAATGCGTCGCTTCGCAGTCACGTGCTTTCCGCTGAAGGGACGAATATTTCTTCTTGAATATTTGCCGCACTGTCTTACACGTGTTTCGGCTTGTGTCCGCAAATTATTCTGCACATTAAATACGTCATCACGAAATCAAACGCTTGGCTTCTCCCCAAAGGGCGACACTGAGCGCTTCCGCTTCCTTCGCTTGAAAGCAAGAGCAATTATAGTACAACGTGTTTCAACAAGAAGGTGAAATCTAAAAAGATACCAGTCTGATTCTACTACTTCCATGCTAAAATAGTAGAATTAGGTCGCTGCTGATAAAAAATTCTGACCTCCAATATGTGAGACAGTACATACAGGGGGGGGGCAATAAAAAAAAGACACTTTCTCCCTTGACTTTCGAGGCGCTATAAGTTACACTTTATTGAATTCTGATCGGACCTTTACTACCATATTGAAGAGCATATTAAATACTATCATGATGCTCCGCCACAGCCTTCTGGACACAGCCATCGAGAGATTCTGCCACGACCATGGTTCGGTGCGCAACGTTGCCGGAGCTGCTCGATGTTGGGGGTCTTTCAGATCAAGAGTACTGGTCTCCAGGTAGCTATCCATGGGTGACTCCACACTAGAAGTTTCGCAGCTGTTTGGAGGTGACATGAATTCCAAAGGTCTTCTCCAGTCAGGCTGCGACTGGAGATGACTTCATATTTTGGTGTACATGGGCGAGAGCCAGCTCCTGCTTATAGAGGAACATCTTGGGTATCTTCCGCCCTGGTACTCGTATCCACGTCCTCTGTCTGGGCTGCGAAAACTTTGCTGATATGTGACTCGGTCGAAGTGTCTTTTTTATTGCCCCCCCCCCTGTATAGCAGCAAGTAGCGATGACAACATACAAAGGTTCAGTTCCCAGACCGGCTACTGCATAGAACTATACCCTATCTCCATCCGAAGTTGATGATTTAGCACACCACCCATCTGGGAGGATAGAAAGGCTCCCCTGTGCAGTCATCATCCCTGCAAAGAACGGGGTGTCTGAAGGAGCGTGGATAGGAGCACAGCAAGGGCAGCCTTTTCCATTGGAATTGATGGCTCAAGACGCCTCCGTTGGTGGAAGAAGGCGCCCTGGCTCGCTCCAGTCCATAGCCCACGTCCTCTCATTTGCGGGTGAAATGACTGCACAGCAGGTGGTCTTGCAAGTTACTGTGCAGCCAGTTTGCAGTCGAGAAGCCTATAAGACTCCGAATGTGAGTAGATTGCATGATGCAAAGAAGACTTATCGAAGCTGAGAGCTTTATCATCCATCCTTTCGAGTGTAAGGTGAAATATAGACTTTACAAGCTTCGTTTTGATTTCTTATGACTGGAGTGACTTACATGGTTGATTTTTGCAGATCGTTCAAACCTCAAATGTATCGGAGGCTCGAGGTCTGATCGTCGATATGCTGGCCAACCGCGATCTACCGCCCAACGTCTCCTCGTGTCTTCGTGCCGTCGCTTCGCTTTTGAATCCACACACGGTGAGCCTTCATGTTTTCACATATCACTTACGACTTTAAAAAGAAGTGGCACGATAAATCGACAAGGGGCACATGGTCGATACGCTCAGCAGGAAAGAATATTGTGCCGCTTAGCAGGCGCTCCATGGCGCCTTTTTCAACAGGGGGCACAGTTTTAGTACCTAAGGCAGCGTTCATACTTCGCGCCAGCAGCTGCAGCAGAGCTCGGCGATCCTCGGTACATGGCAGAGCGCGCCGCAACGATATTATGGACCGCTCGCAATCCAACTTGTGAGCCTTCTTTTCTCTTAAATAATGACTACTGAGCTGATAACTTTACGACTTTCTATATCATAGCGGATCTCGGATACCGCTCCGAAGGCTTTTAGGGAGAAGCGACTCAATTTCATGCTTTTTTCCTTTAACTGCAATTTTCTTAGGTACTGAAGCTTGGTTTGACACAAAGAAAGGTGAACCCATCTTCAATGGCCGTGAGAGCTTCATTTAGGGTAGGTTTTTATTGTTTCTTTTTTCATTCGTCGAGCTTATAAAGTTTTCACCTGTTGATGTTGCGTAAAATGATTAGTGTTTTGGTTCCTAGGTGAGTTTCTTTCTGTTTCTTTTTTTTTCGTTGTTTGAACTCGACTTGTAAACTATAAATGTTTTGGAAGTTGGAACAGTTCAGACGATAGGAACTTTCGAAGGCGCTTGTATAAATTGAAACAATAAAAACAAAAAAAAAAAAGAAGCTCACCCAGGAAATGGAGTTGGTCTTATCCCGACCTAAAAAAGTGAAACCTCCTTACCTCATATTCCAGATCCGCTTATGTATAGAAAGTCGTAAGTTATCAGTTAGTAGCCATTATTAAGAGAAAAGAAGGTCTCACAAGTTGGATTCCCTTATTTATCAAGCGAGCGGTCCATAATAGCGTTGGGGCGCGCTCTGCCACGTACCGACGATCGCGGCGATCGCCGAGGTCGCCGCGATCGCCGCCTGTCGCGAAGTATGAACGCTGCCTAACTAAGGTGCAACAAGCCCGTTTAGCTTTGCTTTTTCTTCATTTTACCATATAACACCCTGCCACTGTTTTCGAACAACTTCCAAATGATCGTACCTTGCGCATTTGGTCCGGCTGCGACTTCCCCATCCTTCCCTCTCTTCTTGGTAATTCGTTGTCATTCAAGACATGTATTACCTATGAAACGATATCGTTTGATTGGCACTCTAATCCTCCCATTCCTTCCTTTAGCTGCTGTTTAAACATTTCGTAGTGAAAAGTCATGCGAAGTGAGAAGAAGCACATCTGCAAAATCGCATAATACCACCCTGCAACTGCAAATAAATCTCTCAAGTTAACACGAAAAGTCTGTTTCCACTTTCTTCCAGCAGTGCCTTCGGAGTACATCCTATAGTGTAACCAGCGCATGCAAAATTGTTCAGTACAAAAAAAAACAATGGAGCAATAGTTCAGAAGGACGCCAGACTTGAAAGGAACCATTATAGAATACGGGAGGGGCGGCAAAAAAAAGTCGATTTTTCCTCATGACTTTGTCAGGCGCTTATAAGTAACTTTATTTTAAGATTTTATACGGATATTTTTAATACCATGTTAAAGAGCGCTATTAATACATTACTATAATGATCTACTCCGCCCACAGCTTTCTGGAGGGGCGCCCATCGAGAGATTCGGCCGCGCGAAAGTGAGTGGGTACCGGAGTTGAGCGAGATCGTTGATTTCTCCGCCACTGTAGACCACCCTGTTGAGCTCCGCCCGAACTAGGTAATTGAGTGGGTTCAGGTCAGGGGACATACTTCAATATTACATCTTCATCAGGTACGAAACGCCCTTCCATTCGAAGTAGGCGGGAGTTTTTCCAAAACCTTCGATTCCATGTGGTGGCACCCAAACCTGTAGCAGCACAAGGTCTCCAAGAAGGTACGGGCGACCACATGTAGGGAGGATATCCTTCTCGAGTTACTTGATGTAACCGCCAGCGCTCACCTTCAGTCGGGGTCTACAAAGAAAATATCGGTCTTCCCATTCCAGGTACGGCCGGTCCACACCATCAACCCGCGCCTTGGTGAATGGGGTGAAGATGATGTCCTGGACCGTAGCGACGTTGCCGGAGCTGCTCGATGTTTGGGGTCTTGCAGATCAAGAGTACTGGTCTCCAGGTAGCTATCCATGGGTGATTCCATTCAAGAAGTTCCGCAGCTGTTTGGAGGCCACGTGAATTCCAAAGGCGTTCTCCACTCAGGCCGCGACTGGAGATGACTTCATATTTTGGTGTACATGAAGGTGAATGGCGGCAGCCGGCTCCTGCTTATAGAGGAAGATCTTGGGTATCTTCCGCCCTGGTACTCATATCCACTTCCTCTGTCTGGGCTGCGAAAACTTCGCTCATATGTGACTCGGCCGGAATGACTTTTTTTTGCCCCCCCCCTGTAGTACGCGCAAATAGGAGT